TGGTAATTGTAAATTGTAAACGTTCACATATTGTATTTTGATATAAGTTTTTTTTTTCGAAAGTTAGTTGTGTTTTGTTTTTTTTTATTATTATTATTATGTTGGTTGGTTGAACAATAATTTTTGTTACCATTGAACAATCAAAATAGTCGATTTTTATTTTTTTCAATTTTATTTTATATTTTCATGCTACAATGTGAATGTTCATTCACATTGGTATGAGTTTATTTTTTTTTAAAACTAATTGTATATTAATTGTAAATTGTGAACATTCATATTATATTTTTGTATAAGTTTTGTTTTTTAAAAGTTAATTGTATATTTATTTATTTATTTGTTACTATGCTTGTTAGTTAAACAATCATTTTTCTTACCATTGAACAACTGAAAAAGTCAATTTTCACTTTTTTCAATTTTGTTTTATGTTTTTATGTTGCAGTGTAAATGTTTACATTGGTATGAGTTTTTTTTTAAGGCTATTGTATGTTAATTATAAATTGTGAACATTTACATTGTATTTTGGTATGGATTTTATTTTTTCGAAGGTTAATTGTGTATTTGTTGTTTATTATGAACATTCACATTGTAATTTAGTATGTGCTTTGTTTTTTCAAAAGTTAGTCGTATATTTGTTATTTACTATGAACATTCACATTGTATTTTTTATTTTCATTCAGATTTTTTTGTTGCGCTATTTTAAAAATTTTCAAATTTTAAATGCTTCAAAGTTCATAATTTGAGATTTTCTCCATGAAATGATGGAGAGATTTTCTTCTTAGAACAAGGGAGAGATTTTCTCCATAGAATAACGAAAAGATTTTTTTCTTTAGAATAAGGAAAAGATTTTTTCCATAAAATAAGGGACTATTGTTATGTATTAGTTCCAAAATAGAAAAATATGCGAAAAAAATTAGAAAAGATGATTTGGTCATATTACATTAGACAAGACTTAATGAAATACTAAAAAAGAATATGAGTTAGATGGAATAAAATACTTAAAAAGATAATTTATCAAAAAATGACCCTTGTTTTATTCATTGTTTTTTAAAATTGAATTTTTTGTTTATATAATTTTTCACTTTTACTAAATTTTTTGAATATTTTAAATAATTTTGTTTATTCATTTTTTCTAAAAATTGGGTTTTTTTATTTTTATAATTTTTTATTTTCACTCAATTTTTTTAATATTTTAAATAATATTTTTGGTTTTTAAATACAGCTAATGTAAAATACACTTAAAAAAAATATTTATGATTTTTGTAAAAAACAAATTTACTAAATATCAAAAATATAAAAATTTAACATATTTTTTATATTCTTGTGTATCTATTAATTTTTTATTCACAAATACTTATTTTTTGGGTGTACCTAATCTAAACATTTAAAAGATTAAAAAAATTATAAAAAATAAAAAATTTAATTTCAGAAAATCTATTGAGAGGTTAGTTTGGTAAATTTTCCAACTGGATCAGTCAAGACTGAGACCTCGTTTGAAAACAAACTATTTTAGTAATTTTTTGATTTTTTGGTTAATATATGAGATAAAAAAAATTAGTATGTTTGGAATGACTTTTCAGTTTTTTACAAATATATGTAAAAAAAATAGAGAGAAAATAAAATTTTTAACTTTTTAATATGAGTTGTTGACTTTTTAATTTTTTAGTAATTTTCTTTTACTTTTTAAACTAAAACAATGGGTCGAAATTGCCGAGTCTTCAGCAAGAAAGCTTGCAAACACTGGGTAGAAACTATGTGGTATGGGGACACAACCTCATGGTACTTTGTTGTTGTTTGGTAATAATTTTTTGATCTAACTAAGTATAAAAAGATAAAATAGACTAAATTAATTAATAAGATAAAATATCACATCTAAATTATAATTATTTCATTTTTTTCTCACAAGCACGGCATCTAAACTTAAAAAAAAAAAATCAAAAAATATTTCCAAACGAAACTAATTTAGTCAGGTTAAATTAGTTAAAAAGTCAAATTAAATTAATTTTTCCCAAATAAAACTTATCTTGGTGACAATTGGTTAACTGCTACAAATCACAGAGTAAATATTCCAACCATGACTTATCAAAAGCTAATACCATCTCGTCATATGATTAAAAAGAGCTTTTCTTCACAGCAACTAGTGGAAAAAACATTCACTCATCAAAAGGAGGACTTTAGGAGTAGTTGTTGAAAAGTTTTCATCAGTTGAATTGAATGTGTGGGTAGTGTCAACAAAACTCTCAATGCTCCGAGTGAGGGGTCCCCTTTGTTCAAAAAAGAAAGATAATGGTTGGCTTTGCTAGTGGATGGTTGTCAACATCAAAGAATCCACTAGTCAGTTTCAATAGCCCAACACCATAAAATTGTTCCCAAGCTTTTTTAGGACAGATGCTGACCCTTTAGCCAACCACATACTAGTTCTGTATAATTTGGATTAGATAAAAAGCTTGTTGTGGTGAGCCATGATTGTCACTAAATCACTCTCAAACACTAATCAATCATTATCTTCAGTGCCAAAGCTCCACGGCAAACCTTATCAAAACCACCAAATCTCATGTTGACTTGGCTTCTTTTCTATGGCCAAAGAATTGTGTGAATCGGTTATTTTAGAAATATAATTAAAAGTTAATTTTTGACTTTTAATTTATTTTAGATTATATTATCTTTTATTTTTTTATATATTTTTTTTAAAAAAATCAAAAAAATTCAAAATATTAATTTTTAACCAACTTCTCAAAACAATCCCGAAGTTTATCGAAACACCATTGCAACCATTGTTAAGAGCAATGTTTTAAAATTCACACCATTGAGGAACCCAAAAAAAAAATCAAGTTAAGGGTCAGTGGTTCAACCATTGAGTCAACCGAACTAAAGTCGTGATATCATAATTACATCATAAATATATTAATAATTATGTATGAATAAAATATAGCTATTAAAATTATAAAAATATACACTTATATTATCAATTTATTTTTAATTTAAGATTTAAAATTACATTTGTTTAAATTTTTTATAGAGTGAAAATAGTAATAAATAAAATTTATTTCCAAAAATTAACTAAAATTCATTGTGTAGTTTGGTGATCTTGTGTTGTGACTTTAGCGCTGGAGACACAGGTTCGACTCTTCTGGATATATGAATGCCAAGTTTTTTATTCCACTGATTTCTTCAAAATAAGCTTTCAGTTGAACCAGCCAATCTAATTCGGTTTCATAAACATTGGCTTAGAGTTCTTTCCTCTCTATACTTTTATTATTTCTTTTTTATTATTATTGGTCAATAAAATTTAGTTTTTATTATTTCTTTTTTATTATTATTGGTCAATAAAATTTAGTTATTAGATATTAGATTAGTTCCTAAAAGTAAGAGGTTTCTCTCCAATTGTGTAGACTGGAGCGCAATGTTAAGCTCGTGGGATTCATCATGGGTCACATTTCGATAATCCAAACCGTTCAATGTGTAAAACTCGTCAAGTATTTCATACGTGTAATAAATCATGTTGATCAGATATTGGTAGCCCCTGATCGAAATACATTTTTGCAAATGGTAAATATGATTTTAAAAATAAATTGTTAACAAAAATATATTCTAATCAAATGACTACTGATATTCGATCAACATGATTTTTTGCAGGCATGAAATAATCGACAAGCTCTACATATTGAACAGTTTGAATTGTCGAAACATGACCCCTGATAGACCTCACAAACCCAACTATATGTTTTAATCCACATAATAGATTGGAGAAAAGCCTCTCCCTTCCTTAAAAGAGTTTAAACCCCTCAATCTCTCCCTTATAAGATCACCTTATGGACCAAGGGAGGATAATAGAAGGAACCATCACTCCAAAGTTTTGGGAAAAAAAAAACTTCGTAAATATAGTCATCTTTGTTGTGAATCTTTTAAAATTACATAGGTTTGCTCATCCCATTCCAAAATATTCATAAGAAATTTAATATCCACCCTTAGGATATTCTCTTCGTTGTAGTCTAAATCCCATGGCCAAAAAAAAAAAAAAAAAATCAATTTAGAGAAAAAAATTAAAAAGACTAGTGAAACAATATTTAATAACTTGGATCTCCAACTTTGCTTTTATTTTCAAGTTTTAATCCTCGCTCTCCGGCTTCAGTTCTCTCTCTCTCTCTCTCTCTTTCTTCTTTTTTGTTGTTTCATTTCTCTCCCTTATCTTCGTATTCCTATTTTGTTTCAACATTTCATTTTTATTTGTTGTTTGGGTTTTTTATTCAACTTGATCTCCATTTTCAATTTCATCTTCCATTTTCCATATTTTTTCAAAACAACTTCTTTTACTTTTTTTTTATTAATTTTCTTTTTATTTCTCTATCAAAAAATTCCAGGGTAAATTACAATTATACCCTCTGAGGTTTGTTTAAAGTACAGATTGTCCCATGTGATTTGAAAAATTACAAATACCCCCTTGTTAAAAAATTTTACTTAACAGAATCAACTAAAAAAAACAAAACAAAACAAAATCGACACCAAAACGACGTCGTTTTGGTGTCGAGCCGCGGTTCGAGCCGCAGCATTCGAGCTACGTAGCATGATCGTATCATTAAAAATTATTAATTGACTTAATGATTTATTAATAAAAGAAACGATTTGTTATGAAATTAGAAACTTTAAGAGCTGGAATGTAATTTCTAGAACCACAAGGACGATTTATATTTTAATCAAACCTCAAAGGGTATATTTGTAATTTACCCTTGTCGCAACTAAGAACCCTATTTCTTTCAAAATTAGCGAAAACGAAATTGAATCGAGTGGAACGAAAGAAAACACTCAAGAAACAATTAGTCTCATGTTTTTGACTCATATGTAGATTTTTACAAACTCGTAGATGAACCTAATCTCATAGAACACATGCAAGTGACAATCACACTTGTGGATAAACGTGCAGGTGACAATCATACCTACAAATGATCATTTGGTGAAATCATATACCAACAGCCGTAGTTTCTTATTTCCTACGGTTACAGGTTTCTTGCACCTCACACAATTTCTTGAGAGTAGTCTCCCGGCATCTTGGAATATGCCAATTCATATGTTCTCACATTTCATACGAATTGACATATTCCAAAGGCTTATTTAGCCTATAAATACACCTATTCTTGTAGAGAAAAGAAGTTGCACTCTCTCTCTCTCCCTACATTACCCATACTTGGCCCAAACAATCCCAAAATAATCTCTTTCCTTCATTGAAGTTTAAACTTAGAGCTTTGGAGTATTCATGGAAGGCTTGAGTGGTTGATTATAGTTGTTTTGATTCTCCTATTACTATTCTCTCTTGCCTAGAGCTTGATAAGCGGTAAAATCTTACTTCTATTTTGATTTTGATTTTTATTTTTTTTTCTTGGCAACCAAACTATCTATATTGTTATATTTTGATTGATTAATAGTTGCATATTGGGCTTGTGTAGTTGGGGTTTTCGCCAAATCCCATTTATATTGTCATAGTTTCATTTTCTTTATTTTCTTAGTACTTTCACGCGTTTTCTCAATAGTCAAAACATGCATTTTTCATTTGAGAATGGTTGAATCTACTCTCTCAAAACTATTATTCCATGGATTTGGGCATGCCATGTTCAATTTCATGCGTATAGAGTAGATTTGGTCCATTTTCTATTTTTTACTTTCTAATTTTCATTTTCTTGCTAATTAGCTTAGTTTTCTATGATTGTGGGTTGAATATACACTTCTCATGTTCTCTTTCATGAATCAGGGCATTTGCTTTGCCATATGCCTCTTTCCATGTATTTTTGGGATAGGGTCACTTCAAAAGAAGTGTCAATGTAATTTATCCTAAATTTTATAATAATACACTACAAAAAATTATATTTTTTGCAACGCAACAAAATATGTTCCTAAAAAGGAAAATTCGTTGGCAAAAAGTTTTGCTGACACATAGAGCTACGTTGGCAACCCGTAAGTAAAAGTGAGTCGGCAAAAGTTTTTGCCAATGAAATTATCATTGCATTGGTAAAGGTAATGCCTTTAGCAACGAACATAATTGTCGATAAAAGCCTTCATCCCTCGTCAGCAATTTACCTTGCGTCGGTAAAAGTAATTCAAATATGATGATTGTGTGGCACTTTTCCCGATACAAATTTGCATGGGCAAAAAATATACTTTTAGCAACAAAATATGAGTCGGCAAAAGTAAACTTTTGGCGACACATTTACGTCAGTAAATGTTGCCATTTGCCAACAATTTGTTTGTCGATAAAGCTTTACTTTTGGTAATGACAAATTGACATTGGCAAAAAAATACACTTCTAGCAACACAATATGAGTGGGCAAAAATAAACTTTTAGCAACACATTTACCGACAAATTGTTTGTCGAGAAAGCTTTGCTTTTTGGCAACAACAAATTTACATTGGCAAAAATAATTTATATTTTTTTATAAGATTTACATATTTACAAGTGGCATCCCTCAGCACAGTAGAACTATCAACAACAAAACACAAGAAAACAAAAGCTAAATAAAGCACCAGAGCCTAACAACTAAACAACACTTCCCACTAAACCAGAAAGAAAATAATTAACAAAATAAACAAACAGACTGCAACAGACAAACTCAATTTGTTTACCAAAATCCATGCCATTGACTTTAAGAAACCTGTCCACAAAGTCTAGTGCATTGGCTTGCAACAACTCTCCAAGTTATTGAGAGTCGACATAGCTTAACCCAGCAATCTCATTGCCACAATTGGTCAACTGAGGCAAGTTAACTCCTCCACCAACATTATTTGTGTAGTTATTCAGTCCTTCAATCTCAACAAGTGTATCATCCACAAAAAAGTCTCCTCACTATTGAACTACCAACCCTGCACTTGTTTTGATTCTTTAATCGCTTCTTTTGCTCATTGTACTCCCTTGGAAAATCCTCATCAATTTCCTTTCCAAATGCCAATGAATCTCTGATATTAGTTATCCCATTATCCTTAGCAGTAGTTGTTTTAAAGACTGATCATCACCCTTAATGGAAAATAGCTCATTATTGGTTCCCTTAAAAGCCATGCTACGAGTTGCTAAACTAGAGGCCCGACTGAAGTGAAATTCCTTCTTATGGATCCTGCGTCAACAAGTAATAATTACAATTCTAGACTTACATAACAGTTAATTCCACATTCTACCAACATTCCGGTCAAAGGTAATAGCTACTAGCGTTGAGTAATGATTTAAATTTTTTCAATAAGAAATTAAAAGAAATATATATATATATATTTGAAAGTGTAAACCTTTACTTCTTTTGTTATTGATCCAGCTAAAAAAGATTTCCTCAGTTAATGCACAAAATCATCATACATTTTATGAAAGTTCCATTTGCTTGACTAAAAGATTTAGAAAATTTAAGCAAATAGATAAAGAGTAATGATAGGTAATTGAGATGTGAAACGAAATTAGCAAGAACAACAATATTTTTGGTACCTTGATTAGTGTCTTTGTTGTCATGGTCAGCCATGTCCAAACCGAAGCACAGTTCTTGCATTGCTTCCGCAGCCACAGATGCACAGCAACACAACAACACACCAGCACACTAGCACAGAGCAGCACTGTAGCAGGATAGTAGCACTGTAGCAGGCCAGCAAATATCACTACAGCAGGCCAGCAGCACAGCAACAAAAGCAAACCAACACCAGTACCAGCACCTATTCAACCAACAAACCAGCAAACCAGTATCAAAAACACACTAACCTGTTCAAGAACCACACATAATAATATGGATGTCTAGAATAGGCCCAAACAGGGCATATAAACCACCTGGGAAATGAAAACCCAACCAATGTTATTACAAACAAAAACAATAATCATCCAAGCCATTAGAAAAGAAGCCCATGTACACCTCACATGAGAGAGCAAATCAACATAAAAACAATATCAAACACACTGGAAGGAGCCACCAAAACATGAGGATAATCCAATTTCTATGTAACATGTATTTCTCTAAAAAAAATACAAAAAATTCTATATACAACAAATAATACAAACTAAACTTAACGCATCATAACAATTAGTAATGTAACCAAATTAATATCAAATTTCAATATCCCAAATTTTATTCAAATATCCAACAATACTATACATAAGAATCCTATGTGTCTAACTATATCCAACAATCCGAAACATAATAATTCCAAAAAAATCTAAATATTCAACAAAATAACCTATAAAACGAAACAAAGAAAAATAAAATGAATGTCGACGTGCGAAACGACAAATTATTATATCTTTAATGACCATATATATCAGTACTGAACCACGAACATCCATCATCAACCTGTGAACAAAAGGATAAAAACATAAGTATTTTATCAATGCATTAACTTCAAAAATAATATACAAATATAGTTAATATAAATTGAATTAATTAAACTTATTTCATTTTTAAGTGTAAAAACATGAGTATTTCATCTTTTTTGAATTAGTTAAAAATTGAGCCTAATTTCCAAACCAAAAGTTTCGTGCTTATACCATGAGTTTCTACAAGTCACTTTTGTCCTTAATAAGGTGTTCAAATCAATTCTTGTTCAAACCAATTCTTAACTTTGGTGGGCTGAATTTATTGCACAAAAAGAATATGGTTCACTCATGTCGAAAAGGAGATATATCACAGTTTGAAGACAAATGTAGCATCACAAGTGTTATTGACAGTGATATCATTTTTCGGCGACCCGATCGCAGGTTCTCCTCCCCAGGGTGTTGCTGTGCTAGGCAGTGAAGGGCTTATATGCAATGGAACTTGGCATTGTGATCCGTTTCCGTTTGTCCGGTGAGAGGTGGGAACAAGCGAACCATGTCACCAGCTAGGCAATTCATCCTTCGCTTTGTTACCTTTTATTTTGATGCTGTGTTTGGTGGCATGTAATTCGTATCTTGGATTCGGAATTGCAGACAATTTCCTATGTCATATTTTGAACTGAAGTGGTCTTCATTTCTTATTTCAAAGCATGAATTTTGTACAGCCAAACACATTGTGTTTGGTGGCACCGTGGCATGTAGTCCATGTTCTAGATTCTTCATCCTATTTCATATTTTGAATTAAAATGGTCTTTAATTCCGATTTCAAAGCATGAATTGTGTGTCACCAAACAGTGTGTTATGTGCTTTTTATAAAAAGCATAAGAATTCCCAATATGTACTATAATACTTTTGTTGCCTTTTTCCTTCCAAGTACTTTTGTAAGACGTAATGGTTTTGATATATGCTACAATTGTGGTCTATGATTTAGTGTCATTGCAAATATTTGATTGTGTGACTTCTTTTCTCTTTTCTTTTCATTCTTTTTTGATTTTCTGTGTTTTGACCAAAACTATAATAGAGGTAGGGAAAAAGCATGTTGAAATACAAGGATCTTCCCAAGAAGTTTTGAACAAATGTTGTGGCATGTGCTATTTATCTACTTAATTGGTTTCCACCTCAAGCAGTCATAGGGACGACTCTTTAGGAATCTTGGTATGGAAAAAAGCCTAATGTAAGTCACTTAGAGGTATTTGGTTCCATTGCATATGCATTTGTACCATCTGAGTTAAGGAGGAAATTAGAAGATAAGAACACCAAGTGCATTTTTGTCAGCTATAGTGAAGAAACTAAAGGTTATAGGTTGTATGATCCTAAATCTAGGAAATTAATTACTAGTCGTGATGTGGTGTTTAATGAAAGTGATATTTGGAATTGGGGCCCCAGTGAATCAAAGCCCGCTTTGATGGAAGAAAAAAATGTTGATCTTGAATCCTTCAACCAACAAGTAAGAGAATCTTGAGATATGTTCCAGGCAGTTCAAATTATGGCATCAGGTATATGAAAGGCAGACCCAATAATCTTGTTGCTTTTGTTAGGTTTTATTCTTGGCAACCCCGTTTGACAAAACTCCTTTCAGTTGTATTTATTTTCGCACTTTTATTTCAGTGAGGCTATGAGTGTTTAGATGCGAATCCAACCCGAATTGTGCCTTTCAGAGAAATTTGTGATGCTAATGCTTTCAAGATTGCCACTTCGCTGATTATGACAGGGATCGAGCTGCCCGGTCAGCTCACGGGGGTCCAGGGGGTAGCGCCCCTTGGCGGGTCCGGGGCAGCGCCCCCGAAGCAAAATGCAAAAATGCATTCCAAGTTGCCTGTCCGCTCGAGCGGACATTCCCCCGCTCGAGCGAAGAATCCCTGGTTCTAGAAGTTTTGGTCGCCTGTAAAAGTACTGAGCTGTATAATTTCGCGCTCGAGCGGGTTCTCTAGAGCTCGAGCGAACCTCTGTTATATCACGCGCATATTTTGCTGAAGACGCTCGAGCGCGCTGTTGGGCACTCGAGCGGAGATCGCGGGACAGATTCTATAAATTCGCGTGTTGGGTCAAATTTTAGAATTACTACTCCAGATCTTCTTTTTGGGTTCTAGGGTTTATATCTGGGGATACTTTGTGAGTTTTCTTTGATGTTTTGATTGAGTATTCAACTCATGTTTTAAAGAGTATACATCAAAGGTTTTGTTTGTTCTACAAAAGAGAGAGTTGTTCTTCGATGGATTCTGAAGAATTCGAGCCTAAAGCTTTGGTGGATTCCGGGATGGCTCATCGTAAAGACAATTCCGAGGTGAAGACGGGTTGGAAGAGACACATAGAGGTTGGTTCAATTAGGCGTGGATTCGCTAGGTAATTGAGAGTATACCTGCGTAATTCCTTTAAATCTTCTTAGTGTATTGTTTTGTGGCTGTTACCCGTGGTTTTTTAATCACAGTTGGAGGTGTCCAATTGTGGTTTTTTCCACGTTAAAATCGTTGTGTTGATTTGTCTTGATTGTTTGACTGGGATTGTTATATACTGCTTAAAATTGTTACATAATCACAAATCAATATCTAGGGGATTTCTAGATTTTTCAATTGGCATCAGAGCAGGTTGCTCGTTTGTTTTTTTTAAAAAAAACTCTTGAGAGAGATCTTGTTTGATTTGTGATAATGGATACAATTTGTGAAGGAAATTCTATGGTTCGACCACCCTTACTTGACCGATCCAATTATTCTTTTTGGAAAGCTCGGATGAGATCTTTTTTAAAATTTATTGATGAAAAAGTTTGGCGATCCGTCATGAATGGGTGGACCGAACCAACAATTACTATTGATGGAGTAACTTTTCCCAAACCAATTGATAAGTGGGACACAACTGATTACCAAAATAGTAGCTAGAATAGTAAAGCTATCAATTCTCTCTTTTGCGCTGTCACACCTGAAGAGTTTAGTCGTATTTGCAATTGTGAAGTCGCAAAAGAGGCTTGGGATATCTTACAAACTATTCATGAGGGCACTCCTTCGGTTAAACGTTCAAAACTTCAAAGGCTCACATCTAGTTTCGAAAACCTTTCAATGGAAGATAGTGAGACCTTTGATGAATTTTATGTGAAGTTGAGTGACATTGTAAATTCCAGCTTTAATTTAGGTGAAAAAATACTAGAATCTAAAGTTGTGGAAAAAATTTTGAGATCCTTGCCCGATCGATTCCAACCAAAAGTTACGGCTATTGAGAAGGCTCAAGATGTTGACAACCTCAAGCTGGATCAGTTGGTTGGAAATCT